TGGTTTACATCCAAAAATTCATTATCAAGTCGTAGAAAAACTTAATTTGTCCTCATACCTTTAAATAAGGGAAAAAAGCCCCTCATTTCAAATCTTTAGAATATGAGATGCACTAATTAATAAAAGATTGAGAATATGATTGTCATTAAAAAAAAAAAGAAAAAGAAAAAAGAACATAAGTGCCACAGTAACCAAAGATTAAAAACACCTTGTTCAATTAAAACGCAAGGAATAAAATTGTGACGGTAATATATTCACCCTTCTTTACTTTATTTTATTTTCTTTTTGTTTTATAACTAAGCCCATGTTTGGATAACGTTTATAAATTAAGTAAATTTAAACATTAATTTTAATCACATATTCAAAACTACTACATTATTATCAACATATTTTATAAGATTCACACAACTTCCCTTCCTATTCATATGTATGGATTAAATCCACACATTGCCACTGTACTTTATATTTAATGTCATCCTACCATTCAATTTGATTTTGTTTCATCATAATCACCCAACTTCTAATAAAATTGACATCAACAAGCCGTTGATCCACGTAAGATTTTTCGTTAAATTAATGACGATTGACCAGGATGTCAAGGCTTTGTGTTTTATTATCTGTCCAAATTAACCATCCCTCTTTGAATGCATCATGGCCCCTTTTTATATTCTTTTCGCTTAGTTTTTGTTGGGCATGATTGGTAAGTGATGCCCAAATCCCCTAGGTTATGATGAAAAATTGAGGCCCGTTTTAATTTCATAGGCTATAAGTTCAGGATTGAAGAATTAAATCCACACCACAATTGAAGTAGCCCAATTATGTTGGGTATTTAGAGGTAATCAGCCCATTGGGTTAGATGCCCAATACCCAACTTGGAGGGAATTTGAATTCACATGAAAGATGGATAAATATTATCATTATCTTTATCAAACCAATTTTATCTCATTTTTGTTGGATGAGCTCTATCTTTCAGTTTGGATATAATCTTGCAGTTTTTATTCAATCTAATCTTGAAGACTCCTGTGAAATTCATTCACTCCTATAAGCATATAAATAGGAGACTCTTCCCTTCCATTAAACACACCAAAAACGAGAGCCAAAACCAAGAGGAAGAAAAACTTCCCTGCTTAGTGCAAACCAATCTTCTCTTGCCTTTTCTTTGTGAATCTGTCTGTGTGATTGATAATGGCCTTCAAATTGGAGAAACCTTTGTGGTGTGGAACAAGTTTCTGAGCCGAATCATAAAAGGGAAAACCGTTCTTTTTATTTTCAGATTTTGCTCTTGATTTTCTTAAATTTATTTTGCAAATCCTTACACTAATCAATTGCTTTGGTTAATTTGTAGGTGGGTTTGCTTCTCAGTTTTCTCCATATTTTTCCAGGAGCGAACATTTTTATTTATAATTATAGACTTGGATAAGGACTGAACCGTTTTGGTTTTGGGTCGAACCAAAAAGTTATGGTCTAGGTCTTAGAATTAAGAATCAATTTGGTTTTGCATCTTAGAATTAAGAACCGGACGATTTTGATTTGATGACCGATTTTTATTGCAGAGCAAAATTTTAAATTGGACTCCAATTTTTATTTTTTTGCTCTCTCAATTAATCATAATTTAAATGAATTTACATAAATTAAATGCATTTTGAATAATGTAATCGCTACTGGAAATTTCCCCATCACATTTAGTTCTATCCAGTGCTCTAAAAAAGCGCAAAGTGAGGCTAGACTTGAAGTCTAAGCTTCGAACTTTACGAGCCTAGACAAGGTCTAAGCGTAAAAAAGCATTAATTATTATTATTATTATTATTATTATTATTATTATTATTATTATTATTCTTCTTCTTCTTCTTCTTCTTCTTCTTTAAAAACTTAATCATTCTAAAAATCATTTAATAATTATAATAACACGTACCAAACATTTAAAATTATAAAATATTATATTAATAATTCCTGCAATAAGTCAATTTTACAATTTTCAAAATTTTGAAATACAAAAGCTAAGCTATTTTTTATAGTTTCAACTTTCAACTATACAAGTCATACTTAACAAATTTATAGGAACTTCATCATATTGTCAAAGTTTCCAACAAAAAGATAAATTTCAAAATCATAATTATATAATATAGATGATACGGTAGTTTAAATCTTATCTAATTCTTTATTAAATAAAGTCATTTAAAAATTTGAAATTAAAGTCAAATAAAAACCTTTAAAAAAAATAAAATAAAAAAGTTAATAAACTAAAGTCAAATAAAAGCTTTTTTTTTTTTTTTTCTTTTTTTGGGGGGTGGGGGGTGGTTAATAAAGTCTATACGCGCATTAAGCAATCAATTCCAAGGCAAAGCATTTTGCCGTGCCTCACGTTTAGGTGCTATTTTTTAGAGGGAAGTACTACATGTACATAATTATCTACATAATAGTGTCCATAATTATATATGGCACTAAATCCAACCTTTAATTCAAATCTCACACTTGAACATCAACAATCGGATGATTGACACATCACATTATGAACATCATTATGTGTAATAATTATCTACAAGTAGAATTTTCCTTTTTTAGAACAATGGTTCTATTGTTCAAAATCAAAAGCATGAAAATGAAATGAGAAATTTACTCAATGGTTTAAAATTCATTTTTAAAGCATAAAAAAATTGGTCAGGACGTGTCAAAACCGATCAGCTTTGACAGGGCCCAGTTCCCTTCTTTTTTACCCCATACCAAACCAATGGTTCCATTTTCATAACTTTCAACTCGAGTCAGTTTGTTCTCAAAATACCTAGACCAAACCACCCACTGTCCACCTCTTTCATAGGTTTCTCTTAGTATGTGTGTCTATCTATATTCTTATCTGGGAAGTCACTTTCCCAGAACGTTCTGCGAATGAACAAATTTGACCCTACACTATATTCAGGTGACATGCACATTAAAGATTTTAAAAAAACAAAGAAACAGGATAGGCCCAGAATTCTCAGGTCATGTTTTGGACAACCTTAAACGACCTGTCCAAGGCTCATGAATCTTCAAGTCATCCTAGCTGTGCATAAGAAAGCACTAGTTTCAAAAAATAATAGCATCAAACTGATTAATTCACATCTTGAATGCACTAAATGGTTTACATTTTGACTAACCCTATCATTAGTCTCCAATGGAAGTCCCTTATAAAAGACCAATAAGAGGCAAAAAAGGTGGATTATATAATACGAGATTTAGCTTATTCTATCCAGTCATGAGCAATAACAGCAATATTTAGTTGATAAGAAGATAATTCAAACCATAATCACACCGCATTCCACAGAAGATTTAGAATGTTGCTTACTTTGATATGGAAAGCGTTTATGAGTCAATGAAAAAATAGTGGAAATGCACGGTGACAAGAACTACAACTGCAACGGTATCACTTGCTGAAAGTTACGCTTTACGTCCCCGTCAAGATTTCTAGTTTATTACAGTTTTAATAGGAACTCTATGTTGGCGGTGGTTTGACAAAAAAATAACAATGATGAACATGCATAGACTAAAATTTCTGTGGAACTACAACATAAAAGTGACTAGGGTGTCATGGCCCTTTATGTCTGTGTTTTATAAGATGCATCATGACAAAAGAGAGAAGCTAAGAGGAGGAAGATAGAAATCATGGCTCCTTTTTAACCATTCCTTCACTTAAGGCTTCTCTAGCTTTTAAACAGGGATCCTAGTCAACTACCCACCCGCTTATTTACAACATCGCTTTCCCGGACGAGCTATTATGGTGTTAACAATCTACACAACATATAACCAGCTAAACTGCAAGTAATTACGCTTGCAGGGAATGAGAAGTTTCAAACCTCAAATCATATTCAAGGATTTATATAGAATGATGAGAATCAAGATCAATAAGTCCAGGAATAACTATGTGTTTTCATAATAAGAGTCCAAGAATAAAAAAGTGCATGAAAAATGCTGACAGATTTATTTAGTCCATGTTTGGCCCCCATTTTTTAAAACTTATTTTCCCTAAGCTTATTTTCAACCATACATTTCATGAGAACTACAACTTTTATCAACTTTTTAATCCTATATTTCATCAACTTTTATCAAAATCTATAAACAAAATCTGATTTTTAGTAAAACCAAATGGGAGGTTAGTATATATAAAACTCGCATTCACTGTATAAATTGTCTTCAAAACAGATGTCAAGTTCTCATCACATTTTCTGCTTCTAGGCTCACATCCTAACTCCTTGTTCACTCAATCTAAAGACAGGACTTGATTTCCTTAAAAAACCACCTCAAGAGAGTAAGCACTTGGGACTATGGAAATTCTTTCTTCTTACACCCCTATTTTCTTGTTCTATTTAAACTACAACCAAATGATCTATATCTTGCACAGACATTATAGAAACAATTTTTGTTGCTATGAGAAGACAAAGAATGTACTATATGTTGGGCCTTTCTTATGAATGCAACCATTTTTCTTGATGTTTTATGGCAATACAACTATATAGTCATTTTCAGTCTCTGTTCTAAAAACCGAGGATTGAATATGAAACTTACTAACCTCACCTCTTATTTCGACTTGAGAGAGCTTCGGTGTCTTCCTAGTGTTATCACCCTCGCATTGTGTCACAGTGCGATATTCTCAAAAATCTTTTAGACTCTTTCAGTATAGAAATTACCCAGTAAATCTGATTTTCCGCTCTTGTGGTGAACTTAGTCTTTCAATCACTTGAATGGAATCATATATTGTTTCCATCCAAAAAATTTCGAAGTCTTGCTAATATTCTAATTTTTGGCAATTTTTGGTACCTTAATGCTCCAAGCTGCTTGCACACTTTTTGAGTTGTTATAAACCCCAATTCATTAGGGCCTATGGCTTATCCAAATGAGCATTCTCTTCTCATGGGGCACGTGAGTGCATGTTGTACTAAGATCACCAATTAATATACATTATATTGATTTTTAAATATGAAAAAAAGTGAATGGGAAAAAGCCCATCTTCACTCGAAACTCAAAAACCAGAGACAGTGGAGTGGTTCTTGAATTGAAAAATTGAATTCTTTCACACTGAACCGGATTCAGAGAATTTTGTTCAACCCTTTGGAGAATCATGTAAACAAAGGCAGAGGCAAATCATTCGCATAATAGCAGAGCCAAAAGAAAATGTACTTTGTCTAGCTCAGGAATTAGCAATATTACAATTATAGTATCACTCATACCATATGAAGTTATTGCACACAATCAAGTCTTCACTCCTCCCCACTGGCAGTCCTTTGCAATGATGTGTTTGGTTAATTACCTGCTCCCTGTTATGCTCCCGCGCCAAGCTATATAACTTTCCTGTGACCCAAACTCCTGTGCAAGTATTCGAAAATCGTATCAAAACTAAGGAAAGGAAATAGCATAATCAAAGGTGTGGAGTACAAATAGAATATTGCAGAAGAGAGGCAATGAAACTTACGAGCTGGCTCAATCGGAAATCTGGAGGTGTATCAAGCTCTATATTTGCTGGATCGAGAACCAAATCTTGGCACTCCGCTAAATCCTTCTTAAAATCCTCTGGTCCCAAGCGAGCATAATCAGAAAGACGAGGTTTGCAGTTTAGTTCTTGATTTTTTTCTTGGACGTCTCGATTTGGAGATTGGCTTTGTAGAAACTCATCACACAATGATAACCCTTCAACAAGTTGCTGGGAATCTAGCAAATATTGCGACTCGCTCTCCCAGCATTTTGAGCCATCAGCCGCCTCATCATCATTTTTATCTTCCACTTCACCAGTGTGATTTTCAGAATTGTTATAATCTTCATCATTGGATTGCTCAAATGGAACTTCCACTTCACCTTCCATATACCCCAAGTCATGATGCTAAAACATGATGTCCACATAAAATGGAAAGAATAGCAAATCAATGACTGTTATTGCACAAGTAGACATGCTAAATGAAAAGAGAATATACTATCTTTACTGAAATATTTCTTCTCGCACTCTTGATGGATTAAAAACTATTTTCATCAACCAATTTTGTTCAGCTGTCATAAGATAGTGGGGAAAAATGGGGCTAGATTCCCTTTTAGACTCTTTGAGTTATTGATGCATTTTTTAGCTTTCGTTCTTTCCATTCTCTTCCTCTTTTCTTATTTATTCAAATTTTCACAGAAATCAAATGTTCACTTACCAATTCTATACCTCAAAATTTTGGAAATATGAGTCACGTGCCTTATTTAACAACAACATACATAGAAACTGTCCACTGGGACCAAGGTGCTACAAACTATAAGGTTGAGGATTTGTTGGCTAATGATAAGTGTAGTTGAGAGGGTATTACATTACAAACTAAAGAGAAATTATTTTCAAGATAGAGAGAAAGAAATCACCTGATCACTAGGACCAACAGATTTAAAGGCAGTCTCACAATAGTAGAATCTCCTTTCAATATGATGAGTTTTGGGACTCACAGGCATGGGAGCGACAGGATCAACGTTAGCAATCATGGTATCAACACCTTGGGGAACTTCTTCATTCTTCTCACTCTCCTTGACTGGCTGCTGTTGATAAAATACTTCGGAGATATGGGGTTCAGGAGTCACAGACATGGGAGTGATGGGATCAACCTTAGCCATCATGGCATCAACACCTTCGCCAACTTCTTCATTCTTCTCACTCTCCTTGATATGCTGCTGCTGCTGTTGATAAAAGACTTTGGAGATAACATATTCTCTGTTACTTTCATCTTCCGCTATACCCAGATGATATTGGTGCATCACCCAATTAGTTTTCTCCGGTTTCCCACCCCTTATTGGACTTGCATATAGAACCATAATCTTCTTACAACCTTTTTGCACACCGTCCAAGAGTACAGGTTTAGTCCGTCCAGTCTTGTGCCAACGAACATCACCAAAATTATCACCATGAACTTTTCGACGCTTCCGAGTTCCAGTATTATAAGCTTTGATTGCTCTGTGAAAGAAGTGTGAAACACTTCCGTCCTGCTTGACACCTGCAAATCACTTAAACTTGTCAAGAGTAAAAAAAAAAGTAAAAACAACTACAAGCCAATACAGAAAAGAAGAGGCGCATTTAGGTACCTGGTAAATTTTGAGGATGGGTATAACAAATGCCATCATCTTCATCGACAATTGGAATGAACTCATTGATAAAAGGGTGCGGTTTCGAATTCCCAACACCAACTTTTGCAAGTAAATGAAATATAATCTCTTGATCTGATGGATCAAATTTCACCCCTCTGGGTAAGCCTGGCCATTCCTTAACAACCTGAAAACCGACACGTTTCAGTTTGCCATAACTCTAATTGCTAAACATAAAGCAAATGTTTGGGTACTGAACACGAGATTTTAGCTTATTATTCTACTTTAATACTGTCGAGTACTGCCCATCTGCCTTACCCTGTTGTGTTAGACAAGAAAAGAAGGGTAGGGGCTATAAAATCCAAATATGTAAATATAACCTTTATCAATTTGAAACAAGTGATGCATGCCAAATATCAGAAATCAATGTACAGCATAAAAGACAGATATAGAGGAAAATCATGATAAATGAGAGATGAGGCATACATCGCTATTGTCGATAACATATTGGCAATTTGGACAAGCTTTTGTGGGGTTGCTTTTCCAATTGACATTTTCGGGATCACATGCACCAGATGCACTCCTAATCTTAGTTGCAATTCTGTTACTATCAACCAACCATGATGTGCTGCATAACTTGCAGAAAAATTAGTATAGCCATAATAAGAAACTACTCACAGCAACAACATAAGCAGATAGTTAATAATCTGCAAGAAGAGAGTAGGGGAGAGAATGGATTTCTTAATTAATATTATACGAGATTTAGGTTGTTCAACAAGTTGCTGGGAATCTAGCAAATATTGCGACTCGCTCTCCCAGCATTTTGAGCCATCAGCCGCCTCATCATCATTTTTATCTTCCACTTCACCAGTGTGATTTTCAGAATTGTTATAATCTTCATCATTGGATTGCTCAAATGGAACTTCCACTTCACCTTCCATATACCCCAAGTCATGATGCTAAAACATGATGTCCACATCCAGTATTATAAGCTTTGATTGCTCTGTGAAAGAAGTGTGAAACACTTCCGTCCTGCTTGACACCTGCAAATCACTTAAACTTGTCAAGAGTAAAAAAAAGTAAAAACAACTACAAGCCAATACAGAAAAGAAGAGGCGCATTTAGGTACCTGGTAAATTTTGAGGATGGGTATAACAAATGCCATCATCTTCATCGACAATTGGAATGAACTCATTGATAAAAGGGTGCGGTTTCGAATTCCCAACACCAACTTTTGCAAGTAAATGAAATATAATCTCTTGATCTGATGGATCAAATTTCACCCCTCTGGGTAAGCCTGGCCATTCCTTAACAACCTGAAAACCGACACGTTTCAGTTTGCCATAACTCTAATTGCTAAACATAAAGCAAATGTTTGGGTACTGAACACGAGATTTTAGCTTATTATTCTACTTTAATACTGTCGAGTACTGCCCATCTGCCTCACCCTGTTGTGTTAGACAAGAAAAGAAGGGTAGGGGCTATAAAATCCAAATATGTAAATATAACCTTCATCGATTTGAAACAAGTGATGCATGCCAATTATCAGAAATCAATGTACAGCATAAAAGACAGATATAGAGGAAAATCATGATAAATGAGAGATGAGACATACATCGCTATTATCGATAACATATTGGCAATTTGGACAAGCTTTTGTGGGGTTGCTTTTCCAATTGACATTTTCTGGATCACATGCACCAGATGCACTCCTAATCTTAGTTGCAATTCTGTTACTATCAACCAACCATGATGTGCTGCATAACTTGCAGAAAAATTAGTATAGCCATAATAAGAAACTAGTCACAGCAACAACATAAGCAGATAGTTAATAATCTGCAAGAAGAGAGTGGGGGGGAGAATGGATTTCTTAATTAATATTATAAGAGATTTAGGTTGTGTTTGGCGCATCTGATAAGACATTATAAGAAAATTAGTATAGAATTATAGTAGATAGTACTAGGTAGATGATATTATGGTGGATAAAGATTAATAGAATTCTCTGATTTTCATTTAAAAGAATGTCATTTACTATGCCCTTGTTTGAGCTCCATTTTTTTTTTTGGGCAAATGTGTTCTGTTATAATGATTTTTTGGAGAATGTGAAATTAAAAAATAGGAAAAAAAATTTGAGTTTACATATAAAATTATTTTATGCGAGAATGTGTGGTTGAAAATGTGTTTTGAAAAAATGAGTTTCGGAAAAAATGGGGCTCAAACAAGGGCTATATCTTTTCTTATCTGGTCTAAATCCATCACCACGGTTTGCATTATGTTATATGGTTGATAGTATAAATGACATTCTTTTGAATGAAAAATTAAAGAATACTATCCATCGTAATCTACGTAAATCAAAGAATACCATCCATCTATCTAGTAGTATCAATTATAATTTTATACTAAATTTCTTATCTAGTCTAATCCATGCACTAAACGCAACTTTATGGGGTACAAAACATATAAATAATGCAATGCAAGTTCAATATATGATATATTAAACCATTTTAGGTACCCAACATGACTTGACACTATAATGAACACAATTTTAACTTATTTTTCTTCTTTAATATTATCAAGTCAAGTGCTATAAAATCCCCCTGTTAGACGCACTTAAAGTAGGAATGGTAAGATTGTCAAAGATAAATATTGAATGTCTGCAAAACAGGGCATCAACATTATGAAAACACAAGGCCCATCCTTTCTTTGTTCATATGATAAACTTAAACATTCAAGTCCACCGCAACAAGGGGATATCAAACAGTGGAATCTACAAGAGTTGAAGATGATGGCTCGTTATGTATGCTGCTATTGTTATCTTTACATTGTGAATAACCAGTGCACTAAACATTATGTTTCCAGATAAGTGCAATTAGCATATATTAATAACTCCACTTTCAACAAAAGTTTCCATGAGGCAATTAGTTTCAATTCTATAAATGAATCCACCATTAAGGCAACAGTGTAAACTAACAAACTAAAACAGTAACGAAAAGTAATCAACAAAAACAGAATGATACAATATAATCAATACAAACATCATCGGCAACACATCTGACATTACATCGGAAAATATTAATGCTACTCCAGAATTCGGATTAAACACACCCAGTTTGATCAATTTTAAAAGAATCAATTGTCTCCCATCAAAAGGGACTACAAGCAATCAATAGATATCAAAACCTCTGAAAGTGTTGATGTTATGAGTTGATACAAGACCATTATGATTTGGGTAACACATTAATAATCACTGAAACGATCACTGCATAAGAGGTGAAATGTGATTATTGACCAAACCCCATCAAGTGTCAAGTTCATCTAGCCATATCTAAATGGAGCAAACTGAATCGATTATAGGGAGAAAAAAATTGATATTCCGCCGTCACCTGTTCTTTCAAATCAATAGATCAATGGACGAGATAGGTCATTTTATGCCCAAATTGTTGGGAAAGTGTGAAGAAAATCCCAACAACTAGAAATCGGTTGAATAATGGGTTTATAAGGGAATTAGGCTAGTCTTCCTTGTGAGTTAACCTTTTGGAATGGAACCTTAAATCCCAACAATAAAATTTCGCATTGGCTGGACAAGGGATAAGTAATGCACTTGTAAAGAATTTGGCCACTCAACACTACATGTTAACCTTTTATGATGGAACTGATCCCCAACACAAAGAAACTAGAACTGTTCTCCAATCAATTTAAAAACCAACCTCATAAGTAAATAACATCTCATTGTTTCACTTTATTCAGAAACCAACTCATTATCTGACCTTAACATTCATCAAACAATCACAAAGTTCAAAACTTTTTGATATCTCGAAGTCCATGATGATAACAAAATGGATTCTTTAGCACATTTATGCAAATAAAAACTTCACTTTCTTCAATCAAAACAAGAACCCATTTCGTTTGACTTCAAGATTTAACCTCTACTGACAAAATATCATTTTGCATATCTTGTATCAGGAAAAAGGAATCTTTAGCACATAAATACATTTAAGAAACTTGAACTGTTTGCGAGATGAATACCTAGCCATGGAAGAGTGATATGAAGATCAAAGCATCAAAAATTTGTGCTGCTGGATAAAGATTAATAGAATTCTCTGATTTTCATTTAAAAGAATGTCATTTACTATGCCCTTGTTTGAGCTCCATTTTTTTTTTGGGCAAATGTGTTCTGTTATAATGATTTTTTGGAGAATGTGAAATTAAAAAATAGGAAAAAATTTTGAGTTTACATATAAAATTATCTTATGCGAGAATGTGTGGTTGAAAATGTGTTTTGAAAAAATGAGTTTCGGAAAAAATGGGGCTCAAACAAGGGCTATATCTTTTCTTATCTGGTCTAAATCCATCACCACGGTTTGCATTATGTTATATGATGTTATATGGTTGATAGTATAAATGACATTCTTTTGAATGAAAAATTAAAGAATACTATCCATCTTAATCTACATAAATCAAAGAATACCATCCATCTATCTAGTAGTATCAATTATAATTTTATACTAAATTTCTTATCTAGTCTAATCCATGCACTAAACGCAACTTTATGGTGTACAAAACATATAAATAATGCAATGCAAGTTCAATATATGATATATTAAACCATTTTAGGTACCCAACATGACTTGACACTATAATGAACACAATTTTAACTTATTTTTCTTCTTTAATATTATCAAGTCAAGTGCTATAAAATCCCCCTGTTAGACGCACTTAAAGTAGGAATGGTAAGATTGTCAAAGATAAATATTGAATGTCTGCAAAACAGGGCATCAACATTATGAAAACACAAGGCCCATCCTTTCTTTGTTCATATGATAAACTTAAACATTCAAGTCCACCGCAACAAGGGGATATCAAACAGTGGAATCTACAAGAGTTGAAGATGATGGCTCGTTATGTATGCTGCTATTGTTATCTTTACATTGTGAATAACCAGTGCACTAAACATTATGTTTCCAGATAAGTGCAATTAGCATATATTAATAACTCCACTTTCAACAAAAGTTTCCATGAGGCAATTAGTTTCAATTCTATAAATGAATCCACCATTAAGGCAACAGTGTAAACTAACAAACTAAAACAGTAACGAAAAGTAATCAACAAAAACAGAATGATACAATATAATCAATACAAACATCATCGGCAACACATCTGACATTACATCGGAAAATATTAATGCTACTCCAGAATTCGGATTAAACACACCCAGTTTGATCAATTTTAAAAGAATCAATTGTCTCCCATCAAAAGGGACTACAAGCAATCAATAGATATCAAAACCTCTGAAAGTGTTGATGTTATGAGTTGATACAAGACCATTATGATTTGGGTAACACATTAATAATCACTGAAACGATCACTGCATAAGAGGTGAAATGTGATTATTGACCAAACCCCATCAAGTGTCAAGTTCATCTAGCCATATCTAAATGGAGCAAACTGAATCGATTATAGGGAGAAAAAAATTGATATTCCGCCGTCACCTGTTCTTTCAAATCAATAGATCAATGGACGAGATAGGTCATTTTATGCCCAAATTGTTGGGAAAGTGTGAAGAAAATCCCAACAACTAGAAATCGGTTGAATAATGGGTTTATAAGGGAATTAGGTTAGTCTTCCTTGTGAGTTAACCTTTTGGAATGGAACCTTAATTCTCAACAATAAAATTTCGCATTGGCTGGACAAGGGATAAGTAATGCACTTATAAAGAATTTGGCCACTCAACACTACAGGTTAACCTTTTATGATGGAACTGATCCCCAACACAAAGAAACTTGAACTGTTCTCCAATCAATTTAAAAACCAACCTCATAAGTAAATAACATCTCATTGTTTCACTTTATTCAGAAACCAACTCATTATCTGACCTTAACATTCATCAAACAATCACAAAGTTCAAAACTTTTTGGTATCTCGAAGTCCATGATGATAACAAAATGGATTCTTTAGCACATTTATGCAAATAAAAACTTCACTCTCTTCAATCAAAACAAGAACCCATTTCGTTTGACTTCAAGATTTAACCTCTACTGACAAAATATCATTTTGCATATCTTGTATCGGGAAAAAGGAATCTTTAGCACATAAATACATTTAAGAAAGAGATGAATACCTAGCCATGGAAGAGTGATATGAAGATCAAAGCATCAAAAATTTGTGCTGTTTTTGTCTATTGCAACTCTTATTGAAATCTGAATATTCTAGGATGTCGACAAAAGTGGAGTCTTGTACTCCAGTAAAAGTAATTTCTTTTGAATTTACCAGTACTTTTGCAATCAATTCCTACGTAACATTTCTTGGCTTTAAATTTGAAAGTGAGTTTACTGTTTTTTGATGTGAACGCGACTGAGTCCACCCAAAGGCTAATGGTTGACTTCATTATTGAACTGGTGACAAGTAACCGACTCTTCAAGTCACGGCGTCTAGAGGATGATAGATATAGAGACATGACGGAAACAGCACCAAACCGACCGAACCGAGGCGAATCCTTAGCATCTGCTCTCTTTCATTAAAAAAGAAATTTATTTATTTATTTGATTTTTTTGGAAAAATAAATTTTAAAATAATAAGCTTTTGGAGTATGTGTAGTTAGCAAATAAAAAAAAAAAAAATCGAGTTTACGTTCAACACAATTTATTTTGTAAATGCATGTTTGAAAATAAGTTAAATAAAATGAGTCATAATTTATTGGAAGATTATCCAATTTACTTTTTTTTCCGTAAATTTTTCATTTCTCTATTCTTTTTTTTATGGGTTCAATGAATTGAAAAGACAAGAGTGATGCTACTCAAAAGGAAATAGCACCAAATCGAGGTGAATTTATAGTTGTTATCTTCTTCTTTCTTTGCAATTTTTCCGTTTTGCAATTTTTTGTGTGTGGTGAATGAAAAGCACCAAATCGAGTTGGCTCGAGTTTATTGAACTGATCCCCAACACAAAGAAACTTGAACTGTTCTCCAATCAATTTAAAAACCAACCTCATAAGTAAATAACATCTCATTGTTTCACTTTATTCAGAAACCAACTCATTATCTGACCTTAACATTCATCAAACAATCACAAAGTTCAAAACTTTTTGATATCTCGAAGTCCATGATGATAACAAAATGGATTCTTTAGCACATTTATGCAAATAAAAACTTCACTTTCTTCAATCAAAACAAGAACCCATTTCGTTTGACTTCAAGATTTAACCTCTACTGACAAAATATCATTTTGCATATCTTGTATCAGGAAAAAGGAATCTTTAGCACATAAATACATTTAAGAAACTTGAACTGTTTGCGAGATGAATACCTAGCCATGGAAGAGTGATATGAAGATCAAAGCATCAAAAATTTGTGCTGCTTTTGTCTATTGCAACTCTTATTGAAATCTGAATATTCTAGGATGTCGACAAAAGTGGAGTCTTGTACTCCAGTAAAAGTAATTTCTTTTGAATTTACCAGTACTTTTGCAATCAATTCCTACGTAACATTTCTTGGCTTTAAATTTGAAAGTGAGTTTACTGTTTTTTTTTTTATGTGAACGCGACTGAGTCCACTCAAAGGCTAATGGTTGACTTCATTATTGAACTGGAGACAAGTAACCGACTCTTCAAGTCACGGCATCTAGAGGATGATAGAGATAGAGAGACATGACGGAAACAGCACCAAACCGACCAAACCGAGGCGAATCCTTAGCATTTGCTGTCCTTCATTAAAAAGAAATTTATTTATTTATTTAATTTTTTTGGAAAAATAAATTTTAAAATAATAAGCTTTTGGAGTATGTGTAGTTAGAAAATGAAAATAAAAATAAAAATAAAAATAAAAATAAAAAAAATCGAGTTTACGTTCAACATAATTTATTTTGTAAATGCATGTTTGAAAATAAGTTGGATAAAATGAGTCATAATTTATTGGAAGATTATCCAATTTACTTTTTTTTTCGTAAATTTTTCATTTCTCTATTCTTTTCTTTATGGGTTCAATGAATTGAAAAGACAAGAGTGATGCTACTTAAAAGGAAATAGCACCAAATCGAGGCGAATTTATAGTTGTTATCTTCTTCTCTCTTTGCAATTTTTCCGTTTTGCTATTTTTTGTGTGTGGTGAATGAAGAGCACCAAATCGAGTTGGCTCGAGTTTATTGCCTACAAGCTGGACAAGCCGTGCTCGGCATGTCTCTCGAGGACAAAGACAAGCTTGGCACACAAGCTTGCATTTTTTTATTTTATTTTGAAAACTCTTATTCTTTTTCTGGACTTGGGATCGACTTCTTAAATTTCGAGTAGACGGAGTTAAACTTGTACATGAATAGCTTATTACGTGTATACTTTTTTTTATTAGTATTAAGATAGTAACAAAGTAGAAATAAATTGAAATTAAATACCATTTACCTAATTACAAGAAATTGCAGCATACTTAATTTGTATTCAATAGTGAGCGACTTGTCATCATTACTTGTTAATCCTTTATACACATTAAATTTTCCAGAACATCTTCTTTGAGTTGATTCTTGAAATTGAATAGAACTCGACCATTGTACTAAAAGTAGACTTCGATGTTGTAGTACTAATTGTAGATATTAATAGACCACGTACAATCACAAAAACAATGGAATTTTTACATTTATATGTCTCCAAAGATCAAATAAATTAAAAATCACTGCATCAGCTGGATCTATGGTATTAAGCATTGATGATTAAAATATCTATTTAATTCTGCAGGGATTTCAACTGGACCTAGAGTTGATGTACTTTGATTCTATACAGGAGACATATTAGAAATATCTGCATCAAATCTTTCATCCATAAATTCTGTAAATAAATTCAATATTTCCTCATCATCATCTTCAAGATTAGCGTTAGGAGGTGCAAAGGGTGCCTGGCTAACATCTACACTCAATCTTTGTTCATACAATTCATAAAATTGAGGTAAGTGTTTCAAAATTAGAATATGTGATAGGAACATCAAATTTTAAGGCATTTGTAATTTTTATTATAACATGTTTTGTACCTTTTAAATTATACACATGGTTCCTTATATATGCTAAAGGAAATAACATAGATAGGTCTTCCTAATATTTTCTAAAT